CTTTTGAACAGTGGCTGCTTTGTTTCCCCGATGTATAACTGGTCGCAGTCCTCCTGGCACTTAACAGCATATACAACATTGCTCTGTTTGTATCTTTATATGACTAAAAACATGAAGGTGTGCAGGACTAAACATCCTAATACCTGATGTGTGTGTTGGTTCTGTATGAGAGAACCCTTCGACATGTGTTTGTTAAACAATAATGTCTTGTTTCCCCGACTCTGAAGGGATGTGTGCTTCATATGGAACAGGACTTTTTGCACTCCGTCACATATTCACCTTTTTATAAAAGTGATTGAGTGTAACCAGGCAGGAAAGACTTACTGACCTCATGAAGAGCCTCACTGGCAGCTGGGTGCCCACCATCTGGAGAGGAAGGAAAGAACAAATGATGAGGTCACCAGATGAGTCCGTTTTCCTCTGGTACCAGTGTTTATTTAAATCAGTACAACAGAACCTCCTGCACTAAATCAGCAGAAGAGAAATACTTTATTATTACTGTAAATACAGAAGAACTAAGTGGTGTCTGTGTGTCACAGGAGTAGTCTCAGACTTCATCTCAACGTCTTGTTTTAACGATCAGATCAGATATTATTATAATGCTCAGATATTCTGATGACTCAGATCTGGGTTTTGTGATGGATCCAGTCTTTACTGGTCAGGTGTCAGAGTTCCAGTGAATGTTGGACATAAAACCTGTTTGTGAGTCTGAAAACACTGACAGTCCACTGAAACACAGGATTGCTGTCAGCTAAGCTACAAGTAGAAAAACAAACCCTGATGATTATCTGAAGCAGATACCTTCCTTCTGAAGGAAATTTTATAACTGATTAACTGAATTTTAGATGCAGTATTTAATACTTTTGATCATTTCAACCTTTAAGTTAAAGCAGACAAACAGGTGGTGTGTGTCTTATGTGTTATTTTAGTCTAAACATAAATGAGTGACGTTGTGACATCTGATGTAAAAGGTAACACCTCCAGAGCTGTAACCAGGAAGAGGTGAACATTATAAGCTTAATTCATCATTAATTCATTGCTTCAGAACCGTTCACTGGGTCCAACAAGGTTTTAGTCAGACAGAACCAACAAGAAGGAAGCAAAAAGTAAAGAATTTGAGAAATTATAAATGTTCAATGTAAATAAATTCTAATTTTAATAAATTAATATTATTTAATTTAATATAATTTAATAT